ACCTAACCTAACCTAACCTAACTTTTTCGGCTAGCAAACCTAACCTAACCTATAAAGATAGGTTAGGTTAGGTTAGGTAGGGTTGGTTAGGTTCGGTCATATATCTTCGTTAATTTTAACTCCAATAAAAAAAAATTGACCTCATACATAATGAAATGGGTTGCTTTATCATTTCATAAGAAAAAAAATAGAGAAAATATATTAATTCATGAAAACTTGGCTTATTAGGCAAATCCGGCCTTGCATTGTAGGCTGAAAAGTGAGTTCTGGCTACTAGGTACGACATATATACATATATATATATATATATATATATATATATATATATATATATATATATGTCGTACCTAGTAGCCAGAACGCACTTCTTGGCCTACTATGCAAGGCCCGATTTGCCTAATAAGCCAAGTTTTCATGAATTAAGTTACTTTTGACTACCTAACCTACCTAACCTAACCTAACTTTTTCGGCTACCTAACCTAACCTAACCTATATAGATAGGTTAGGTTAGGTTAGGTAGGGTTGGTTAGGTTCGGTCATATATCTACGTTAATTTTAACTCCAATAAAAAAAAATTGACCTCATACATAATGAAATGGGTAGCTTTATCATTTCATAAGAAAAAAATTAGAGAAAATATATTCATTCAGGAAAACTTGGCTTATTAGGCAAATCGGGCCTTGCAAAGTAGGCCGAACAGTGCATTCTGGCTACTAGGTACGACATATATATATATATATATATATATATATATATATATATATGTCGTACCTAATAGCCAGAACGCACTTCTCAGCCAACTATTCAAGGCCCGATTTGCCTAATAAGCCAAGTTTTCCTGAATTAATATATTTACTATAATTTTTTTCTTATGAAATGATAAAGCTACCCTTTTCACTATGTATGAGGTCAATTTTTTTTTATTGGAGTTAAAATTAACGTAGATATATGACCGAACCTAACCAACCCTACCTAACCTAACCTAACCTATATATATAGGTAAGGTTAGGTTAGGTAGCCAAAAAAAGCTAGGTTAGGTTAGGTTAGGTAGGTTAGGTAGACGAAAAAACATTAATTCATGAAAACTTGGCTTATTAGGCAAATCGGGCCTTGCATAGTAGGCTGAGAAGTGAGTTCTGGCTACTAGGTACGACATATATATATATATATATATATATATATATGTCGTACCTAGTAGCCAGAACGAACTTCTCAGCCTACTATACATGGCCCGATTTGCCTAATAAGCCAAGTTTTCATGAATTAATTGTTTTTCGACTACCTAGCCTACCTAACCTAACCTAACCTGACGTTTTCGGCTACCTAACCTAACCTAACCTATAAAGATCGGTTAGGTTAGGTTAGGTAGGGTTGGTTAGGTTCGGTCATATATCTACGTTAATTTTAACTCCAATAAAAACAAATTGACCTCATACATAATGAAATGGGTAGCTTTATCATTTCATAAGAAAAAAATTAGAGAAAATATATTAATTCAAGAAAACTTGGCTTATTAGGCAAATCGGGCCTTGCATAGTAGGCTGAGAAGTGCGTTCTGGCTACTAGGTACGACATATATATATATATATATATATGTCGTACCTAGTAGCCAGAATGCACTTCTCGGCCTACTATGCAAGGCCCGATTTGCCTAATAAGCCAAGTTTTCCTGAATTAATATATTTTCTCTAATTTTTTTCTTATGAAATGATAAAGCTACACATTTCATTATGTATGAGTTCATTTTTTTTTAATTGGAGTTAAAAATTAACGTAGATATATGACCGAACCTAACCAACCCTACCTAACCTAACCAAACCTATCTTTATAGGTAAGGTTGGGTTAGGTAGCTGAAAAAGATAGGTTAGGTTAGGTTAGGTAGGTTAGGTAGTCGAAAAACAATTAATTCATGAAAACTTGGCTTATTAGGCAAATCGGGCCTTGCATAGCAGGCTGAAAAGTGCGTTCTGGCTACTAGGTACGACATATATATATATATATATATATATATATATATATATATATATATATATATATATATATATATATATATATATATATATATATATATATATATATATATATATATATATATATATATATATATATATATATATATATATATATATATATGTCGTACCTAGTAGCCAGAACGCACTTCTCAGCCTACTATGCAAGGCCCGATTTGCCTAATAAGCCAAGTTTTCATGAACTAATGCTTTTTCGACTACCTAACCTACCTAACCTAACCTAACCTAACATTTTCGGTTACCTAACCTAACCTAACCTATATAGATATTTTAGGTTAGGTTAGGTAGGGTTGGTTAGGTTCGGTCATATATCTACGTCAATTTTAACTCCAATAAAAAAAAATTTACCTCATACATAATGAAATGGGTAGCTTTATCATTTCATAAGAAAAAAATTTGAAAAAATATATTAATTCAGGAAAACTTGGCTTATTAGGCAAATCGAGCCTTGAATAGTAGGCCAAAAAGTGAGTTCTGGCTACTAGGTACGACATATATATATATATATATATATATAAACTCAGGTATTTATGAGTAACCTGGCTCTTAGCCTAACTCTCTACCACACAGGTAGTGATAACCAAGACAATGCTCACGACATGAATGATATCCTAGCTCACCTATTCAAGGGGTAATGGGAGGGAAATTATCAATCTTTAATTCATTCTGCTACGAAGCCAACCTGTTCTCTAGCGAGGGTCGTCGAGGTCCTCGGTCCTGGCGTTCGGTCCTCCCTTGATCAAGTTCTACACACAAAGTCCTCAGTCGGCTTGTAGATGCACGTCCTCGCCGTACCCACACTCTGCAGGCAGGTCCTCCTCCTCTCACAGAGGCATTGGAGATAGGTCCCCGTGCACGTTGTCCTCTTCCTCCCTTCGCTGGAACGGTGGACAAAACTTGCAGTCCAGACCAGTGTACCCTCCTCAAAACTCCAGTGGACTTGGCCCAGCCGCAGCAGCCCGCCTGATGTGTTTAAACATGGCCCACAGGGGCGTCCTCAAGACCCTGCCCAACGTTCACCTCAGCCGCAGACTATCAGCAAAGAGCTCTTGGCGCTCTAACATCAACTAAGCCTTGCTTCCATGTACTCTACAGGAGTCAGATAACTACCGACGATGTCTGCAGTATCAATGCGGCTGCTTGGGTCTACTGGTTGGGGCTTCCTTGCCTCCTAATTGAGAGCTCATTCGAGCGTGTCCGCTCTCGACGATGGGCCATGACACACTAAGCCCGCAGGGGCGCCGCCGCCCAGAGCCCTCCACCTTGTGACGTCACTCTGCCCGAGGGCTCCTCGCCATTGGTCAAATACTTCATGTGACCCCTACCTGGCCAATCAACAGACGGCTGGCGTCACGCTCCTTTGGCGGGAAGCGGAATGCTTCGGTTCCATTTTGTAACACAAAAGAGCGTAAGTCACTTGTAAACCCCAACTAAACCAGCAAATTCACTGCCAACACGATAACTTCCCATACCTTCATATGTATGTAAATGTTCTCTGAACATCAGAGAAGGTTCAGGTTGCAGAGATATGACTCTTGATGCTGGGACAGGAAAGATATAGGGGTGGGACACCGGTACACATGATGCATCATGTGAACAATTCCCCCAAGGGTCGTGATGAGGGTTCGAACCTACGTCTGAGAGTATCCCAGACGCGCCTTAATCGACTGTGCCACGACATGGTTAAACGAATTGTACCCGGGAGTTCATCTGAGATCTACTATTGTGATTTCTGTGTGTCATGAAGTAAGGGCGAAGACGTAGAACAGCTTGCTAATAGAGCTCGGGTGTATGGGGGAATTGTGTAAAACCTTGGTTTGTATCTCGGAGAGACTGCAGGATCCGTGTAAGGTCAGTAGAATTCCCGGTTGCAATTCTTTTAACCATGCCGTCGCACAATTGATTAAGGCGCGTCTGAGATACTCTCGGACGTAGGTTCAAACCCTCATCACGGCTCTTGTGGATTTGTTCAAATGATGCATCACGCTATTTTGATTTCTGAGTGTATTGCAGCCAGCTTTCAATTAACCATTTTTGCAAGTACTCTCACTCTCTCAGTATGGCAATTTCTCTATTAAAGGTCCTTCTGGCACAGACATTAAATAGCGGGTGCTTCATAACCCAGCATCAAAAAAAAATTTTGGTGTGAAACCCCAGAGTGTTCTACACCATATAACAACTCCCATTTGGGCAACACTGCAAGTCAAGTGATGTGAGATCACCATCTTCTCAAGGAAAGTGTTATTACTTTGTGTAAGGCTCCCAAGCATTGAAACATCGGAATCTTAGTGTTTGCTCACACTAATATTATCAGTTGCATTGAGTGCCTTTATTGACAACACCCCTGGCACCCATTATTAGTATTGCTGATGTTGCAATTGTGGCAAGGGTTAATTATTTTACAACACAGCCATATTCCACTCATTGCTCATTAACAGGCACACTCTCCCTTTATTTCTCTCAATTTCCTTCCCCATATTTCTCATAATACTTAATCCATTTTCTATTAATTATCATTTCCTTTAATCATTGTCAAATAAGCCAAGAACATCTAATATTCCTTTTTTTTAATATTTCGCTGTTTAGACTTAGTTACTAAATACAAACCAAGTTCTCTTAGTTTTAAAATCTTGTTTACCAAATACTGCATTTTTTCCTAAAATTAAGAATATATTTTTCTCCCTGATTGAAGTATATAGGAATATTTTTGTGTAATGCTCTGGGCACAAACTCTGTTGAAGATACACTGTTTTTATGTTGGTAATTTTACAATGGAGTGATGTTCTCCCTACTTCCATTTTTTTAACAAGCTCTTGGACGGAGTTTGTTAAAAAAATCATGGACATAGTTTCACTGACACTTTTGGTCTCTATTCTTTCAACCAGAGTGGAAACCTTCTGGTCCTGCATTAATGACGGTACAACATTGGCCTTCATGAGGCATTGTATAATTACTTCTACAGAAACTTACCTCTGCTTCAGTGTTGTTATTTTTTAAAGTTTGCTTCGGTGTAGAGTCAGCAGTGAAAATGTAATTCAGAATTACTCCAACCAGCCGCCGTGTTGATTTTTCTCTAGCGCCCACTGAAAGCCCAGATGCCAAGCTTGTCCGTATGTGAGGAAGGTCGAGATTCAGCCTATTTTCTGGGCTAAAACCCAACCCTAAAGTCTGAAATGATCCAGGATAAAATAAAATATCGAAAAATATTTGGTAACAGTAAATTATGCATGCTCATTAAATTTTATCACTTCTGTAAAAAACGTTAATTTTCTTAGTAACATATTGAATTTCTTCTGACTAGTATAAGTATATACAAATTCTACCAGCTTACGTACCATGCCAGGTGTACGACAACAAGGACCGACTTACTATAATGTCTCGCGGATAGAAATGATTTACAAGAAGGTCGGAGACGTCGTCCAGGTCTTCCAGGTTCAACCCCATATATTCCAGCTCAGTGAAGCTCATCCTGACTCACGAGTGCTTGCAGACCTGAATGCGAGATTTGCCATACCTTATAAAACTATAACTTGGATCTTTTCATAAAAATTATACAGAGAAATATCGTTATTTCAAATATATTTACTCAAGCTTGGATAACGGTGAGAGTTTTGATACTGTTATATATACCATATTGATATACCTTAATATAATAGTCATGATCCGTGACATAAGATATTACTTTTCTGTGAATAGCTTAGGACGTAGGATTTAGGTAATGTGAATCTCTTTTGAAGTCACATGAGTAATTTCAAAGCAATCAACATGGTATTACAGACACTAGAGGCTGAACCAATGCTGTTACTGTAAGCATCTTATACAGATCTTATTATGCTGGCGCCTTTATCATGACCCAAAGCTACGTTCTGGTGGTGTAGAGGTTAAGGTGTCTATCTGTTAATAGGTGGTAAATCCTGCTTCAAAGAATGCATATGATAGAATTAGGGTGTGCTTTCCACAACCTTTCTTCCAAAAATGAAAGTACCTCTTATTACTATAGCTAGAACAACAAAATTTGGACTGATCCAGAAAAAGAGGATTTGAACTATAAATTTTGTAGAGAGCTGAAGAGAAAAGTTAGCAACCTAACCTAAATTTTCCTAGGTGTAGATTTATTGCATATATATGTATAAAAATGGCATATATATAGCTTGGACCCCAACTCCTTCAAAAAACTAACAGCACTTCTACCTCAGGCATCAAGTGTCTCTGAGGCAATGGGAACAAAATTGTAGTGGTGCTCAAGGTCTTTGTATTTATGTGTCTTGGCTGTTTCCCGGTGACTGGCAGCACCTCCTGCTTGTGTAGCTCTGAAATCAACATAGGTGTTGGCTAAAGTTGAAACGCAAGTGTAGTCCCACAACAACTGTCTACCATTCTTCCAGGGGTTCACCGTGATTCCGTCTGGGCGACTAACAGGCTCATCAGAGTTGAGGGATATTAGGTAGCGGGGCTCTCTCTCTGCTGGACAAAATATCGGCTGTGGTAAGGCTTCTCTTAATAATGTTGTTAACCTCACCGTGTCTTGCATGCCATCCTCCTGTCCTTTGGCAGAGAAGGCCATGCCGTCCGTACCTGTCGGCCACTGCCTCGTCGCAAATACACTTGTTTTCGGTGTGGATTAGGGCAGGGAGGCGGAGAGCCACGGCAATTCGGAGGGCCTGTGGTGTGAGACGGGTGCCGGTTGCTGACATTGGGGTTGTTAATAGGAAGTCCCCTGTATGGGGAAGAGAGAGAGAGAGAGAGAGAGAGAGAGAGAGAGAGAGAGAGAGAGAGAGAGAGAGAGAGAGAGAGAGAGAGAGAGAGAGAGAGAGAGAGAGAGAGAGAGAGAGAGAGAGAGAGAGAGAGAGAGAGAGAGAGAGAGAGAGAGAGAGAGAGAGAGAGACAGAGAGAGAGACAGAGAGACAGAGAGAGAGAGAGAGAGAGAGAGAGAGAGAGAGAGAGAGAGAGAGAGAGAGAGAGAGAGAGAGAGAGAGAGAGAGAGAGAGAGAGAGAGAGAGAGAGAGAGAGAGAGAGAGAGAGAGAGAGAGAGAGAGAGAGAGAGAGAGACAGAGAGACAGAGAGAGAGAGAGAGAGAGACAACAACAACGCCGGCCTCCACACCCTCAGCAACAACATAACCAGGCACTGCATCATCAACCTCAACAAGGCCCTGAACAACAACAACACCGGCCTCCACACCTGTCGGAAAATCCGACACCATTTAATATTTCATACAGATAATAGCTGTGTTATATAAACAAGTTACCCATAGAAAACGTAACTTGTAGTGGAATTACCGTCTAAAGAAAACGGGATATCATCACCACATACTATTATATGCACCACCTATTCTGGAGGGAATTATTCTTAAATACATTAGTCTTTGGACTTTACCATCATAAAACATCTTATATAAATTAACTTAATTATCAATATTAAAGTAGAGTAAATGTGACCCTTCTATCACTTTCTGACATTTGGACAATATAGGCCAGGGGTCAGTGAGGAAGGAGGGGCAGCCATTGTTGATACTAGACCAGAGGCTCACAGGGAGCAAATTCGGCTCCTGTTAAATTTACTTGGACGTAGTGTTATGGAAACCAAAGGTGTACCATTTTCAACACGCTGTCATCAAATCAAGTTAAGTGTTCTTTCCGAAACCCATTATCTATCATTAGTGGCCATTAATGTCATTGGGTAGGGTTAGCCGATTAGAGCACGATATAGCCTCAAACTAAAGGTAATTAAGCCAGGTCTTCATGTTCCATGTATAGTGTTTTCTCTGATATAGCTTGTCATATATAGAACCTGGCTTCACAGCTAGCGCCCTTTTGACAGGTCAAGACGAGGAAGCAAGGCTTTGTACATCAGTTACCTGGGTGATGGAAGCTACCTCAAAGAGGATAATTTGGTGTCTACATCCTAGTTATACCTGTTTGGACTAAGGTCAGCTGTACTATAAGATAAGGAACCTTTTCAATGTATGTAGTTAATACTGTAGTTTGATTGGCTGCATCTATATACAATTAATATAAACCCCCCCTAATGTGTAGAGGATCGATTTGTGAGATTAAGTGATTATTGCAGAAATACAGTCCACTTATCATTATACAAATTGCTATCGAAGTATATAAATTAACGTAAATATAAATTCATATAAATTAAATAAATATAAATCTCACAGGTCGGTTCCCACATTATTTGGTCATCTTCGAACCGGATGACGGATTATTTGGACCTTCAGAACGGAATATTTGATCCTTTGAACCCACATTTGGTCATCTTAGTACCGGATGAACCAGTTAACCAGTGGATTCATTAAATATACTAGTGCAGTGTGATTTAAACAAAGCCACAAGACGGCGGCGTTGACTCGTGCGAGTTCACGAGCCCCGCTCAGTTCAGATCAGCTTCGTCAGCGGTTTCATGTACACCCACAGATTTGGTGGCGTGTTATTCTGTGAAATGACAGCGCTAATATAGAAGCCAGCCAAATTAGTGACTGTTTCGCGAGATTGTTCACGGATTTCGTGGTGTTACATTTCGCGAGAGATTATCTACGAATTTTGTGGAGTTTATTTCGCGAGGTCACTAATAATATTTAATACTTCTTGATAATATTAGAAGTTTCATAGAGGCTAATTAAGAGGCTATTATCAATAATTGTGTATATTATTTCTCCAAAATAGAGAATCATTTAATATATACTGCACTAGTGTTCTCAATATAATATTTACTAATTGCCAACCCACAACAGGGTAGGATATTAACCATTGGCTAGTTGAACTATTATTGCTCATCCTAGTCCCATTATTACCATAGTCAGTTGTACTATATTGATCAACCTAACACCATTAATGAATGGTCCAGACCCTATTTTGGGTGTAATTTTTATCAACTCGAGTTGAGTTGTGTATATATAATAATTTACTTATGATCATTACACCTTTGAGTGATTAATTAGTGTCTCTACCATCCTAGGGTGATATAGAAGAGCTAACCTAAAGGTACTTCCAGTGACACTGGTTTATCACTCAAATCATTAGTGTGTATGATTGTATATATATAATGTGTATTAATTTTAAGTGCTAACCTCTAGTAGAGGTAGGATTATTGCCTAGTGAGTGCAGAATTTTACCCTAGGCTACCATTAGAGCTTGTTCAGTATTATGAGCAGCCCAAGTACAAGCCCCACAAGGCTTCACCAACTAGCCAGTATGGATAATGCAGGGAGAATGAAAAGAACCCTTGCAGGTCTTAAAGGCCACTTAACAAGACAGATCAAGAAATGTGAAGATTTGTCACAACAATCTCAAGTTGATTATGCTGACCTGGAAAGCATAATCAAGCATATTATTATCATATCAAAGCATATTATCAAGCAGCTGCAGGTAAATTTGAGCAAATCAAATGTCAAATAGCAACATATGTGGCTGAACTTGCTAACACCAATTTATCAGAAACAGAAATAGACGACATTATGGTTGATCTTGCGAATTATGAAGATCAGACTCAGGCCACGTTACAGCCTTATGTCAAATTAATTGCCCAGAACAAGGCAACAGCAACAACAACAACAGTTGCATCTAATACGAGTCAAGCAGAAGCTCGACTCCCTCCAATTAATTTACCCACTTTCTCAGAAAAAGATGAGGAAGATTGGGACGAATTTTGGAACAAATTCGTTGACCTTGTAGACTCAAAACAATCTTTACCAAAGAGTAGTAAATTCTCTTATTTGCAAGGCCAATTATCAGGTGAGGCTAAAACAGTAGTATCCCATCTGAGATTAACTAATGACGGCTATGATCTGGCAGTAAAACTCCTCAAGGATAATTATGCTGATCCAGAAGTAAGAAAATCACATTTAGTACATGAGCTGTTGCATTTACCCCCACCGGAGGCTTCAGCTGATTCACTCCAAGTCTTCAAGCTGGAGGTAGAATCATTGATCAATGCCCTCAGCCTGACAGCAGATACAAACGGGGCTGAGTGGGTCTTGAAAATAATTGTCCAGGAGAAAATACCTAGGGACATATTGAGACAAATGAGTGCTCATTACAATAAAAGCATCTTATCTATGAATGAAATATCTGAAGGTTTAAAGTCAGTAGTTCATCATTTACGAACACATGACAAATTAAAACCACCAAGTAAACCCTCAGAAACCAATAATAGTAAACCACAGAGTACCAAAGGTACTCCAAATCAATCTAGACAATATAATTCAACACCAAAGTGGAACAGTGGCAGTGTGGGCGTATATGCAATGGGACCCTCCAAGCCTATAGTTACTGTGTCATCCAAGAACGTGACACCAAAGGGTACTGGAAGCTATGGAACATGTTTGTTCTGCAATGAGAAACATTCAATGTACCACTGCCCTAATTTTCCTGATAGTGACGCCCGTGTTGAGTGACTCAAAGATTTGCAACATTGCACGAGGTGCCTCAGGAAACATAACATCAAGGACTGTGATACCCAATTACACGCCTGTAATAGGTGTAACAAAGGTCAGCACCATGCAGCATTGTGCAGAGACACCAAAACAACGTCTCCAAACCCCAAAGGTGGAAGATAGCATTCCCACCACAGTACAGTACTGCAAGGTGCAACAAACAAAGAGTGTCCAATCGGCAAAGTCTAAAGGTAATACGACTTTGCCTACTGCCCAAATTACCATCCTGAATAAGAGGGCCAAGGTCCATACCCATGGGTTGTTTGACCAAGGATCCCAGAGAACATATATCACTAAAAAGTTGGCAGATGAACTACAATTAAGGCCTGTAGCCCAGATGTCATTCAACATCTCAGGGTTTGTAACAGATGCAGGACCTCAAGTCTACCAGGTGGTACAACCATCAGTACGTTTAGGCAGGTACATCTGTCGAGTACAAGCCATTGTGGTGGACAAAATACCAGTAGACCTACAAGTTCAAGGTCTCAGAGCAACAGCCAAATTCCTGAGAAATAGAGGAATAAAATTGGCAGATAATATTAAGTCTGATCACCTCACTGACTTCGATCTCCTTGTAGGGACAGACTATTGCCATCGATTCATCGGTAGCCCTACTAAATATCAGGGTATAACCATGTTAAACTCTGCAGGAGGTAAATTACTCTCAGGCCCAGTATCAAGCCTGAGGAGACCTATGCCTGCAGATAAGCAATACTAGTAGAAATCTAAATTTGTCAGCTGATTATATTTCTCCAGTAGCATTATACTAAGGAGATTTCAGCTGACTATAGTAACAGAGGTTGATGTTAGTATCATCATTTAAAGCTGAAGATGAGTTCATGAGGCCTCAGTGGCAAATCAGTGAACAGTAGCCTAAACAGCTACAAGTCACTGCGACCAATGTCACTGAACCCACTGCAGTCTCAGAACCATACTTTGCTTTAATGATGAGCTATTCAATCTTCTGAATCAATTAACTAAATTAAACCCTAATAAATCTGATGACTGATTTGATACATTTATTATTTAATCAAGATGTATTCCATGGGCCTCAGTGTTTATATATCAGTGACCAGTTACCTGAACAAACTTCAAGTTATATCTAATGTCACTGATCTCACTGCAGTCCCTGAATCATACTTGACTGTAGTACTTGATCACATTCAGTCTTCTGGGTTAAATAATATGTAA